TTCCTCACTTGGGTGTCCTGTTTCACGCACAACCCCCCCACTGAAGAAAGTGGCTTTGCTGCCAGCAGAGTTCTCACTGTAAGAGCCCTTAAGCTCCAAAGGGTAGGTTTGTATATGAGATTTCAGTCATTAAATAAACAGTTCTCTAAAAAACTTCAATACCTGTCCCTTCACGTAAGCAGATCCTACTACCCTGCAGGGAAGGATGGCTTCTCTTCAAATAGCTGGGGGTGGGGGAGGAAAGAGAAAGTTAAAGCAAGAAACATTAAATTACCCAATTAGTCTGCTGGAAACAACTAAGTGTTCTCCTCCTCCCAACTATCTCCACAACATAACAGACTATCTAAAAGTCACCATCCTATTCAAAATTAAAAGCAGAGCTGTCCTGCCAGAGATCATGAGTAGCTACAGAGGTAAAAAGTTGCAAAAGGAGAGAGATCTGGTACTTATGCTACTGTGACTCCCCAGCTGAACATTTCTTGGAGAAGACACTATCAAAGCCTCCAAAGTGCTTCGCAAACGCTGAATCTCAACACGCTTAGGTGAGGAGGAACCACATCAGAAACCCTGTTTTCCCTCTGGGTAGCCCGAAAGCCACAAATATGTTTAAACATCTTACCCCCAGATTGCATAGCAAGTTGCTCCTGAACCAGAGGAGAACAGGAGAGCCCCTGGCCCCAGTCCCTCACTTCAGCCACTCCACAAAGCTGTCTTTACCATGTACATCATCCCCATATTTTGCAAATCTTTCTGTGGTAACTTAGATGTCTAACACAGAAAGAGGCTGGTTAAAACCTTAGGGGTATTATTTGGAATACATATGCTAGCTCACTTCCATCTGTGTCGTTAATTAGTTCCTGACTGTAGGTTAAATGTAGGGCATGTTGTCACGAGCCTAAGGTGGGGTGGCAGGAACTCCTGCTATTGCCATATGGCTTTTTGTTTCTTCTCTCATTCTTCAGCTTTCAGCCTCATGCTCCCAGTTTGTGGGCTCAACCATCACATAACAAAGAACAACAAGGAAAACAAAACTAGTGTTAAAACATTAACATTCTTCACCATTAAAACCTCTACGAAGTTTGATTGAAATGCAACACAAGTTCCCATCTCATCCAGAGGCTGCTTTTACCTGCAGCAAACTTGCCATGAAATTCAGGAAAGACCTATTCCCATGCAGAAGTACCACTGCACAGCTAGGGATCTACCAGCCCTATAAACACAAGCCAGGCAGCTTTCCAGGGACCAAGGATCGGCCTTAAGATGGACAAAACGAGAAGAGAAAGGCCATGCCTACTTGTAATAGGGATGTCCAGCACTTCCAGGGGATGAAGCCAGTGTAGCAGCACCATCACCATCAAAACAATAAAAAGGGTGAGGGGGGAAGAAAAAAAAGAAAAAAAAAAAGAGTTCTGGTCATCTTGTCTTCCAGTGCATCTCCACAGATCCATCTTTTCTGTTAAAATACCAATGGCTCAGGACTATCCTCAACAAAACTATGCCTGAACACGACTAATTACAAGATATGCAGAGCATCAGCAGTTCCCCTGCAGCCATTTTCTAGTGAGTGCAACTTGAATATTAACAGGTCGGGTGGTGCTTTGCAACTGAAGACTTGCTCCAAAGTGTTTAATTTAAAGTAGGTATGGAAGTTATTTATTGTGTTTTCTGGCTCTCACCGCATACCTGTCCTTCCATCAGCTAAGGGCAGGGGAAATGATTTATAGTATTTCCAAGCACAAGAGTCTATCAGTTTCATAACAGTTACGAAAATCAGAGCAAGGAAAAAGAAATACACAACGATATCCATGCTGAACAAAACAGGTTAAGAACCCAGCCACATGACTTCATGTTTGAGGCTTATGGAATTCAAGATGTTGCCTCTAGGTTTGTCAGTCTCAAAGGTAAACTTTTTTGGAGGCTTAGTCCTCTACCCAGTTTCTTCTTAAACATTTTTATTTATTTATTTATTTTTTAATGGAGGTGTGTGGAATTGACTCACATCCTTTTGCAACACCCTTGCTCACTGGTGACGTTCCTCCTACTTTTGTAGTTTCAATGGCAGAAAAGTTTTGCACAGGGGGCAGCAGCAATCTTTCACTAGTTCAAAACTGGAAAAGGACTTAAAATGAGTCTTTCAGGGAAGACAGCTTTATTCTTTGTTTTAAATTCACACGCCAAACATTAGCTTTTAGGAGGAAAACTCACTTTCAGAGATTCTTTTGCAAGTCATTACACAAAATATATGTTTCTGTGAGACGTGAAGATGCACCTGCATATTCTCTCTTTGCACCATTTCACTGGCAGCAACTTGCCAATACCCCATCAGTAAGCACCCTGCTGCTGCAATGCCATGTGAAACATCCTTCTTTGCCCCTGTAAAATAAAAACAATCCTTCTTCATCTGCAAGACATAAGCTGCCACCAACAAAAAAAAAAATCATTACATCGACACAAACTGTAATGTTTACATCTGGAAAAGCAAAAATAGAAAACTTCAGATGTGTTTATTTCTAGTTTGGATTCAACCAATTACAAAAACAAAGGATGGTCACGATGTTCAGCAGCACATTCATACTTCACCACAGTTTCCTGGCATGGATTCTGGTTAGGTCACCCTTGCCAGCTTGAACTTGTCAGTGACTTTGCTTCCCCCTTGGACTCACGCTGGCTTTCGGTACGAATTCTATCAAACAGCATTTCTCTCTTGGCATTTACGGCTCAGTCAAACTGGATTATCAACTCAGAAGGAATGTAAATAGCAAGTGAAGATCCAAGTCTTAATGGAGGCAGCCAGCAGGCACAATTACCTAGAAATACTGCAAAACAAGTCCTGTCGCTCATCCCAGCAGTGTCCACGCGCTTCTGTGTGCAGTGACAACTGTGGCTAAGAGGGGGTGATTGGTTTACTTACTAACTCAGCCTTTGAATAAAGTTTAAATTTAATTTCTTTTCTGCTCAGTGTATCACATACTGAACGCTCAACAAGAATGTCATGGTCAGTGTAAAGATGGATGAACTAAACCATATGGATACTAAATGTTGCACCAAGCTTAGAAAGTAAATGGCATAAGGGACTAAGGAATCCAGAGATCATAACCTTTAATTCCTTGATCTACACAAAACTTCATTTCTCCAAAAGCTGTTATGTTTAAAGAAAGCAGTGTTTAGATCACATTAGATAAGGCGCAAGATTAAGCATAACTCACTTTTAAAAGATATGTACTACAGAATTCTGGCATTAGTCTTTTGCTGAATTAGTAGAGAGCATATAACAACATTTTGCTCAAGATTTTGCATAGTTCAATTTTTTTGCAGGCTCCTCCTCTATGCTACATGCACGTAAAGCCTACCTGTAGCTCAATGCACATACAGGCAAGGCTGAGGTTGATGTGGAACTCCCGTGAGCCAAGAGCAGTTTTTCAAACTCTAGGTTGGTACAACAGCTCTCATGCACCCTGATATGGTATAAACAGCTTGCAGTTGCCTCCTGACTTGTGGCAAATCTCCCTGGATCACAGCTCCTCAGCTTCCCCCAGGAAAACTCTATTCCCTGAGAAGTTATGCATTAAGATCTTACCCCATTAAACTTTATGCTGACAGACTTAAAGTATCTCAAGAAACTGAAAAATCCATCCCATGGAAAGTTATATAGTACATGCAATCAACCAGTGGCTTGTCAGCTCCAGGTTTAGTTTAACTGAGGTTTAGTTGCTTTGGTTTTGTTATCCCACTGGGCATTTGACAGCCAAGGGTTAGCAGTCATTATGAAAACCCCCAAATCATACTGTGTCTCTAGGAGTCAAATAAATAATTGCACATGAGACTGTGAGTTCACTGGGTAAAAGAGACGCATTGTTTCTCTCTGTAAGCAGTTCTCCACAAATTAAATACAGAACAGCACTCTCTCAAATGCAGAGGAAGAACCTGCTAAAGCAGGTTCATCTACAGAACAAAAATGAGAAGCTGTGGGCTCAAAACAAAGAACCAAAGAGCAGATACAAGTGCATTCCATGTTGTTAGATTTGAGGGAGCAACAAATCCCTATGCACTCAACTTAACTTTGATACTCAATTTTTAAATGGAGAAAACTATGAATCTACTGAAACCAACCTAAAGGCTGCTGAGTTAATTAACATTAGGAAAAATCAGGATGTTTTCCTAGTCCACCAAATATTTATTAAAGGACAGACCCTGACAAGTAGACTTCAACAACGGGATGGGGAACAAACCTACCTTCAACCCAACTCAAATCCTTCAGGAACTAGTTCTACATTGCATTTTATTTGTGCAACCTTTAGACAGGCTATAAAGTCTCACCAACAGCTGTACCAAACCAGCACAAATTTGACTTGCAAATACTTTCTTACTGAAAGTGATGCTTCTTGTTTACCTATTCAAGCCAGACAGAGAAGACTGTATAAAACTTAATTACCTAAATGTCTAGAACAGGATTCACGGGCAGCACCTCAGTTGCAGGGCTAAAAAAGGCCCACATTCATACACTAAACTTGTACTGAGGAGGAAGGAGGATTGGGATTAATTCATTTTAATGGTGCAGGCTCCTTTGCCAGAGCCAGCCCGAGCAGCCTGTGTGGTTCGTGCATCTGTAGGTGGCAGTAGCTGCTCAGATTTTGAGATACCATAAGATGCTTATCTCAAATTTAGCAACCAGTATTCCTCCCATCCTCCTAGAATTGCCTTTCCTAATGTGAAATGTGACCCCCTCCCCCATTTCTTCATAATTTATAGTAGTCTGTAGCTGAGTCACAAGGATTTCTGCATTTTCCTAACCAAGTACACAAGAAAAGGAATGAACTGCCAAAGGATTGAGGTAATTTATAGCGTAAAGCATCGAGAGCTTCTAGTCGATCAAAGGACTCAGAGAAACAAATATAAGAACAATCATGCCTTCTGTTCTCTACAAATGCCAAGGCCAGAAATAACTGTCCTAATTAACTGGTTTCAGAAAATGACTTCTCTGAAAAGTACAATATTCTTACCAAGGAAAGTATACAACTGCCACAGCCTTATGGCAGCTGTCACCAGGGCATGAAAAAAATCCCTGAAGGAAGTTTCCTTTTGCTTTCTCCGGTTGTCCACGGTACTCATCCTCAGAACGCTGCATCCACTCACGATGGCTAAATTATGCTGTAATGGGACATTCTGCTACCACTAGGATTAGTGTTACCAAGAATCAGAATCACATCAGGTCAGATATTTTCACAGCTAACACTCTGTTCACTGGTTATAAAGGGTAGAAATTGTGCCTGAGATGAGATGGGCTTTCTGTTGCTACGACTCTTCCTGTTCAGTCAAGTCCACGGCGTTCTCAGTATTTCAGACTGCTCCATGTTCATTGTTGCTGTTGGCTGTAGCAGTTGGACCCCACCACTCTACAGTTCCTCGATAATTAGGTCTTGAATGCTGAAAGGGAGGAAAGGCTGAGCCTGACCCTACATACGACTGTCCTGTTCCGCATGGACAACTCCCGCAAACAGTGTTCCCCACTGGACTGCTCAGAGCCTGGAACTGGGAACATGTAAGCTTAAGGGACCATGGCAGAGCTGTCTGCAAGCACTGCACAGCAAAATCTATTATTTATTGTTTGAATTACAAGAGCACTGATAAATCCTTGTCAGGTACCAGGAAGAGAAGACAGGCGAGACTGTCCCTGCCTCAAAGAACCTGCAGTCAAAGAAAGATAAGACTGAATAGTAGGTAATGGGTAAGGAAAGGGAACAGTGGGATTTGTGAGTTGACAGATAGCACAGCCTACCAGCCCCATCCCAATACGTTAGGCAGTTCACTCACTACACACCTGTGCTGCTTCCTAATGGTGTATCACAGCAAACAGGAGTTGTTACACACAGCACCTTCCCAGCTGGAACTGAAGACAGTAAGTTATTGAGTTAACACTTCATTTCAGCAACACACAAAAATAGCTTGGCTTCAGTGCCTTTTAAAAGCTTCCTTTTAAAGGGTGTTTACAGCTAAGCATTACCAAGAATGCCAGTGTATGAACTGATCTAAGAAATGATTGAGAGTTTCCCAATTAAGCAGCATTTCAGCTATTGAGGAGGAACCGAGTGCTCGCAACATATGCTTCAAAACAGGTCAAGACAAGTTAGCAATTAACCTATTAAAAAGCACATATCCTTTTCTAGTGGAGCCTCCACCAATTCACACAACGCCTAACATGAGATTTCTAGTGTAGGCACAGGGCACATTCTTAGAACAACTTCTCAGCCTTTTATACAAACCGGGAAGGCAGGTATGGGATCGCACTTACTACACAAGTCACTGAGTGAATTGTTTCTCGTGTTCATGCAGTGCTTACCCATAGGAGGGCTGAGAGGCTCTCCCTCTTCCAAGTTACTCGTGACCTGCTTTTGTATCTGCACACCGCCAGAGAATTACCTTCTGAGCAAAACACGCAGCTTGTTGTGATTTCCCTACAGCAACACCAGAGTAACAGTTGCGTGCAGCGCTACAGGTACTGCAAGGACTTTTAACTGAAGCTGCTTTCAGCTCAGCGCTGTCACTGTACCCAAAGCTTTCAATCAAAAGCACAGGACCTTATTTCCCCCTGTATTCTTTCACACGTTAACGAGTCTTTAAAATCCTTTGCGTCTGTGCACTGCATTTTGTAGTATTCCAGCACACTGTAGTACTCCCATAGCACCACTGCTACAACACAATGCCTTGGTGCTAGAAGCATGCTGCTCGAAATTAAACTTTTTTTTTTTTTTCAGTTTAGTTCTACTCCCTCCAAGATAAAAGTCCTTACCCATTTTCCTCCACCATTACATCTGCATTATTCAGACAAAAAAATGTTCTTCATCTTTCTGACCTGGTTTACCCCTGATTTCACAGCCATATAACAACAGGATCTACCCTGCAGCTCCGGAAAGCAGAGAGCACTGGCAACAGGAACAGAAGGCACACTGCTTACATATGGGCTTTCCCAGCCGAGGTTCAGCGAAGCTGAACGTTAAGTGGTAGTACTACAGCAGAAAATTGTTGTGAGTTACAGAGCCCTGCAGAAAGGCTCCTATATCTAGTCGTATTAAGTAAATAGCTAAAAACATATTAAGTAAATAGCTAATACCAGCTCCTTCAAGGTATTTTAGAGCTAAAACAGAGCCATTGCCTTACCCTGAGACCAAGGTGAGGGACAGCACTCGCTCCCGCAGAACATCACTGTTTGTCTTCTCCCTCTGCCCAGGTGTGTTTGCACAGCCCGTGCCCGGCCGCTCCGCACACAGGAAGCCGTGGTGTCCCCCCGGCAGCTGCCACCTCCTCTCACCTGCCAAACCACAGCATTCGCACGGAGCCAAGAGCGGCCCCTCTGCCTGTGTTGTCTTCTACACCCAGGTTAACTCTGGGCCATCACTGGGCTCAAGCTTTCACCCAAAGGCTTGCAGGCAGCGCTCCGGCTCCGCAAGCGGAGCCATTGACTCGCACCAGGGCACTACCCCGACACAAAAGAGCAGGACAATACGACCACCTTCTCACTCGGGACAGCCACCCATGCGCAAACAGAGGAAACCCTTCGCTTCTGCACAACCAGCCACTCAAACCTAGTGATGTGAGAGTTCCTCCCACCCACGAGCAGGTGGCTCATTACCCAGCCCTTTGCTCGTATCTACAGACAACCAAGGAAATTCATTTTAAGTACTTATCACCATGAATTAAAGATTACAGAAATACTGGCTGGGGAAAAAAAAAAAAAAAAAAGTATTGCCAGGATAGATTCTTTGCATTCATTAGAACCGTGTTACTAGAAACATAAATAAATAATGACTATTGATCTTGCATAACCTCAGAACAGCAAACTACAATAAACTGAGAGGAAAAGGACATATCTTAACTGGAATGTACAAACCAAGACACCATCAACACCTCTTAAAAACAAACAAGCAAAGCAAGCGTGACCCACAGCTGTAACACCTCACGCTTTGAATTCTAGAAAAAAAAAATTAAAAAAAAAAAAAATCAGTGGGACAGCACGAGGTTTCCAAAGTATTAATTGCACATTCGCCAGCCAAATTTACCATTTAACCCGTTTCTTTCCGGCTGAAGGGGTGTCTGACCCCCCGATACGAATCCACAGCCGGTCCGCCGCTCCCCTCGGCGGGCAGCTCCAGCCGCTCAGGCCGCCGGGCTCCCTCCCTGCGCCGCCTTCCCCTCCTTCCTTCCTCCCCTCCCGGCGGGCTCCCCGCGCCCAGCGGACGGGGCAAGCGGGAGAGGCGGAGGACGAGGTGCCCATGGCACCGGATCCCGGCGAGGGTGCCCGGCGTGCTTCACATTCCAGCGCCGGTCCAGCTTCAACAAGTGCATCGCGCCCCTCCCTTGACGGCACCTCGCCCGCCAGCGCCGGGGCGGCGCCCGGACCCGGCCCTGCCCGCAGCCCGGCTCCTGCGCGGCCGGGCCGTGCCGTGCCGTGCCCCGCAGCCGGCGGAGGGAAGGAGGGAGCGAGGGAAGGAAGGAAAGAGAGGGAAGGAAGGAGCGAGGGAAAGGAGGGAGGGAGCGAGGAGGGGGCCGGGGCCCCGCCGCGCGCCCGCCGCCAGGGGGCGCCCCCCGCCGCCCCGGGGCCGCGCGCCGCGCCCCGCGCGGGGCTCTCGCGCCGCCGTCGGGGGAGCGCCCGCGGGTCCCGCGCGCCCGCCCGGGAATGGGAACGGGAATGGGAACGGGAACGGGGAAACCCCGCCGGGCCGGCAGGTGCGGGAACAAAGGGGCCCGGGCTGTCCCGGGCACCCCCACCCCCCGCGCCCTTCCCGCTCCCCGACGCCTCTCGCCGGCCAGCGCCCGCCCAGCCCCGCAGCCTCCCGCATCCCCCTCCCCGGGGCCCCGGCCCCTCCAAGTTTCCTGGCGGGGCGCCGCGTACCTTGTCGTCCACACAAAGCCTGTCCGGGTCCCCTCCGGGAAGTCACATCCTCTCCCGGGCGCCCAGTCCCACCGGCCACCTCCCGCCGCCTCGGCAACACAGGCGGCGTCTCAAGTGTCTCATCAAAGCTTTATGAGGGGCGGGAGGGCAGCGGAGCCGGATCCCCCACTCCCCGCCGCCCAACCGGAGCCTCCTGGCCCAGCCCCGCCGCCGCCTCCTCCTCCTCCTCGCCGAGCGGCTTCGCCCCCGGCCAGCGGCGGCCGCAGGCACCGCGCTGCCCCGCTTAGAGCCTCCGCACCGCCTCCCGGCCCCGCCACCGCCCCCGCCCCGCCCGCCCGGCCCCGCTCCGCTCCGCTCCGCTCCGCTCCGCTCCCCCGGCGCCCCCCGAGCGGGGCGGGGGTGTCTGTTCGCCCGCCAGCGGCGGGATATTGGTTTACTCCGCCGGGTATTAAGCAAGCCCGATCTATTTAAATATCGCTCCCGCGCTGACCTCTCCGTAGTTCGCCTATTAAGAATGCAATCAAGATAATAACAGGCATTGCTTATTAATGAGCGCCCCAGGTAACGTTACACCGGTGACTTTCTGCAGGCGCGCAGCGGGCGCTCAGGTCCCGGCGGCCCCGAGGGGGCTCTGCCCGGACCGGCACCGGCACCGGGACGGGACCGGGGCCGAGACCGACAGCGGGTCCGCCCGCCGCGCCAGAGCCCGCCGGAGGACACAGGGGCGGGCGCGGAGCCCGTGGATCTCGGGAGAAACGCCCTGCTCGGCTCTGCCCCGCCGCCCGCGGGGTGGATTCCGTACCCCCTGTCAAAAATCTGCCTGGCCGTTTCCCCCTTCTGCCCGCGCAGCAAATAGAGTAAATTATTGATAGTGGAAATTGCATGGTGGAGGCAATAATGGCATCCCCTGATTGAGTAGCTCCATCTGATCTTGGTAAAGACAGGGAGATGGCACGATCCCTGGCTGGGCCAGCTGCGGCGGGCGGGAGCGCACGCGTGTGCCGGCAGGGCACAGCGCCTTGTGCCACGTCCCACGGCACAGCCACCCACGGGACAGGCACTGACTGCACCCCCTGCCCTCACCTCTGTCCTTCCCTGCGGCCCTCGTTGGTCAAATTTGAAGCCGTTGATTTCCCCAAGAAGAAGATATCCCAGCTCCTTTATGAACCGGTTAAGACGTGTATGTTTTTACACCTCAAGCCTTACTCCTGTCTAATCGCAATTAACACCAAAGGCCCATTCACTCCAGCGCGCTTGTGGCCATTTATTTATACCAGGAGAAATGTGTGCAACTCGTTGCTGCCCTCAGACAGCCTTGTGTGCTTTTGCTGTGAAACACCTGCATTGATTAGATCAGTAAAGTAATAAAATAACCCAGGCGTTTGAAATTCAAGTACACCTAAGGCCTTCCATATAAACCAGCTTTTATATATATTAAGAGAAAGATTCCTGGTGGTTAATAACCTTTGCAGCTTTAAGAGCTTCTCTAAAAATCACGTTTAAGTACCACATTACCATCCTTCTTGCACTTGGGGGTTTGGTTTCATGTGTTTGAACTAAAAGTGCCACTGAGCTATGGAGACAGTTCTACCTCTTTGGTGTCAGTGTTTTCCAGTCAAAATCTACTCAATTTACAAGAAAGGAGACAAATTTTCAAAGTAAGTCCTCACTAACAGCCTGGGCCTGAGGAATCACACCCAGCCCTTGCTGGCTGATAGATAGTCACTAATATAGGTAGCTCTTCAGACCAAGTCCTGCTCTGCTATTTCTGTATTATTGAAATTCTACCATTAGGAATGCATCAGCCATTC